TGCGTGAACATTTGGGCGGTGTTATGCAAATCTTCCCACATCGTGACGTAGATATGTGGGGGCGTGTTAGAACGAGCCGTTTTAGGAGAGCGTGGACGAGTCTTAACTTTTATAAAGAATATCTCTTTGGATTTGAGACTTCTTTAAAATTGACCTACATTTTAAAATGATGATTTTTTTACATTTCTGTTTAAAGTATTAAAGTAATGTATTTTTATTTTTATTATTATTATTATATAATTACATTTTTTTTATTTTTTTTATTTGCTAATGCAGAAAGGTAAATGCAATTTTAAAAAGTAATTACATTTAAAATGTACATTGTATTTAATTTAGTGTTACATTTAACTACATTTTAAAATGATAAATTATTGATTAACAATGATGATGATTATTATTTTTATTTTTTTACATTTTTCTATTTTAAATAATACACTTGTCATTGAATACATTCTAAAAGGTGAACTTTTGTCAAATAATAAGGTGAAATTCGATTCTTTATGGTAAGACTGCTTTAAAGGATGTTGATGATTGATTCAAGGTCTGCTGTTTGCGACTCGGATTATTATATCTGCATTTACTCTGAGGTTTTCCATTAACACTGAATGAATATGAAACCATTCATAATCCCTCTCTCGGTCATTACCTGGAGTCTCTCTATTAGACTGATCGGTTCGGCTGAGCCCGCTGTCACTGTGTTAATATCACTTCTCTCTCCAGTGAGCGTGTAATTAAAGATGAGAGTCTCTCTGCTCTGTGGGGCTGGAGTTTCATCCGTCAGCAGATGGAGGCTTTGTCCTCGCAGCAGATTACAGATGAGCGCTGAAATTAAATGGACAAAACTGGGTCAAAACAGTGTCTCGCATTTTGCCAGCATCCTTTAACAAAGTGTCTGTTTGTTTGCAGTGAGATGTAATTGAATGTGTTTATGTAACGCACATGACAACGAGCTTTTCATTAAATACTTGTCATTTCCTCATTGCTCGCTCATTGTTTCCCGTCATCTGTTACTGTAAACCTCCTTTTGTGTTGCCTGCAGATTTTTGGAGAACTAGAGGAGGTTGGAAAAAGCCTTCAGGGCGATGTTTTGGATGCCGCTCCTGTTCATGGTGCTCATGGTGCTCATGGCGAGATGCAAGGAGACATCAGCCAGTGTCCGTATTATGCGGCCAAAATGGGTAAACATGACCAGATTATTTAATCCTAACTTAATTACACCTTAAACCAGGGCTTCACAAACTTTTTTTGTCAGTATTTATTTATTTGTTTATTTATTTATTTATTTATTTATATTTCAGTTTATTAATTTAAAAATCAATCAATTTTGAAATTAAATAGACATATAAATATATATTAAATTATTTCTTGTTTAATATTATTATTTCTTGTATTATTTATTTTTCATATTTTCACAGTTTTATTGACAAGTTTAAAAAAAAAAAATAAAAAAAAATTAATAATAATAAAAAAAAAAATATATATATATATATATATATATATAAAAAATACATTTTTTATTAATAATTTAATGGAACATTTGCATATTCATGGTTCTCTGGCAATGGTTAAAGGTCACATGACATACAAGTAAACCACTCAAATATTTAATCTTTTTTTAGTAAGTGTTTTATTTTTTTATTGGTTTTATTTAAAAAATGTTTAAATTAAATTATTATTAACATTACTATTATTCATTTTAATTATATATTAATTAACTCTAATTATATAATTATGACAGAAATGTATTACTGTTGTAAATTACAATTGTAATGCAAAATTTAAAAAAAAAAACTAATATTTGATAATCATAGTAATTTTAGGCTTTTATTTTGGTGGAAAATTTCTATATGCTTAAGTACTTATTATATATTTTATATATTTAAATTGCAGCCTTTGATTTTAAAATTGATTTACAAAAGTTATATCACTATATGTTACACTTTTATTTTGATTAATCATGGAGTCCTATTTATCTATTTTAATTTTACTTTCGAATTTAATAATTTTTAAAATTAAAAAAAAAAAACTAATATTTGATAATCATAGTAATTTTAGGCTTTTATTTTGGTGGAAAATTTCTATATGCTTAAGTACTTATTATATATTTTATATATTTAAATTGCAGCCTTTGATTTTAAAATTGATTTACAAAAGTTATATCACTATATGTTACACTTTTATTTTGATTAATCATGGAGTCCTATTTATCTATTTTAATTTTACTTTCGAATTTAATAATTTTTAGTTTTTCATCAATTCACGAACCCCCTACAGTTCCCTTGTGAACCCGTTTGGGAAACTGTGCATTAACCTAAGAAATGAAACTGTTTATATATTAATTAAATTTTTTCTATTTCAGCTGCCAGTGGCGGATCATCTTACATCTGTCAGATGGCCATGAGCATGCTTAAAAATCCCTCCGGTCAAGTCATATTGGCTGCCTGGATCGCTGCTCTAGCCGGATTGGCTGCGTGGTACCTCATGTGAGCTCCTGTGGTCCAATGAGAGGAGAAAAGGGTCAGATAATAGTTGAGAACAAATGGTTTGTTCCGCTTTAAAGTTGTGAGGCATTCCAACACATTTCCCTCTTAGTGCATCCCATTTGCCCCCTCATTCTTGGGTAAATGTGATTTATTCTTAATGTATGAACATAGACTGTTTAAACGCAGGATAGCATCGTTTATGCATAGTGTTTTATTGTGGCAGGTGTTACTATTGCACCTGTCAGTTTTGATGAAGTTAAAGGAACAGATCACCCAAAAATGAAACTTTGATGAAAATGTCCTCACCCTCAGGTCATCCGAGATGTAGATGAGTTTGTTTCATCAGAACAGATTTGGAGAAATGTAGCACTACATCACTTGCTCAGAAATGGATGCTCTGCAGTGAATGGGTACCGTCAGAATGAGAGTCCAAACAGCTGATAAAAATTAATCCCCTGTGTTGTCCTCTCACATCAAAATCCACCAACGTATTTGTTTTGGACTGTTTTTCGCTTGTAAACGGTGCTTGATCTTTGCATATTTCTCTCCTGATTCAGACGAGATGACTTTTTACTGGAGAAAGCAATGATACGGATTATGGACTCATATTTTAAAGTTAAAAATAATGGATTTGTTTCTTACAAACACACAGCTTTTCACTTCTCAAGACATTAACTGATGGACTGGAGTGGTGTGGATTATTGTGATGTTTTTATCAGCTGTTTGGACTCTCATTCTGACGGCACCCATTCACTGCAGAGGATCCATTGGTGAACAAGTGATGTAATGATACATTTCTCCAAATCTGTTCCAATGAAACAAACTCATCCACATCTTGGATGACCTGAGGGTGAGGACATTTTCATTTTAGGTGAACTCCTTTAAGGCTGGAGAAGAGCTGCGGAAATATGCAGAAAGTATTTTTATAGTTTTATTGCAGTATCAAGTCAACTTCTGGGCCGAAACATACTCTACACAAGTACGTGAATGCATACGCTTCTGGCGACGCAAGCTTGATTTCACACGTCTTAGTAATTGTTGCATTCTCATGCATCACCATAAGGGGCGCTATAGTGGGCATTAGTGCAAATTGATGACTTCTACAGTCAGTTTCTCATGTTAAGGAAACTCTATCGCCCCCTTAAGGTTTGATATCGCAAAAGTAACATAAATGTGCATGTACAACAGGACGAGGCTCATACAAAACATTGGCGCACTTGTACATGTTCAGAGTATGTTTATACAGAAAAGTACTTGATTCCATTGGCACATTTGTCAAGCATGCTTTCAAACGAGATATGCTATGCATACATGCGGCATTTACACAGAAAAGACTACTGAGATGCTGCGTCAAGAAATGACTGGCACACCGGTTCATGAAGAAAAGCCTTTTTGAAGAGGTTTAGAATTGAAAAGATGGAAGAATTGCACATTAAGGTCATTTTTGTCTCATCACACATGATATGTTACAGACTTGGCATTCAGGGTTATTCTACACAGACGGTTAAAGCACAAGATTTCTGGATTTTCGATTCCCTGATAACAGATATCTGAGCCAAGATTAACTGTTTCACATGGAAGCCTGTTCCTGCCACTGAATAAAAAATAAAGTAAAAATTGCAAGTTATAAAGTCAGAATTGTGGGATATAAATGTCGCTTTTTTCTCGAAATTCTATGTTTTTCTCGCAATTCTACGTTTTTCTCGCAATTCTACGTTTTTTTTCTTTCAACAGCGAGTTTATATCTCTGAAAAAAAAAAAGGTAAATGCACATTTTAATCTCAGAATTCTGACTTTTTTCTCGCAAATCTTTTTTTATTATTATTATTTTAGAATTGCGTGATAGAAACTCACAATTGCAGCAATTGCTTTTTTCACAATTCTGAGAAAAGAAGTCAGAATTGTGAAAAAAGCAATTGTTGCAATTGTGAGTTTCTATCACGCAATTCTAAAATAATAATAATATATTTTTTTTTCAGTGGCGGAAAGAAGTTTCTGTATTTTTCACTAGTGGTTGATCAGACATTAGTTTTTAAATGGCCAATGATATCTAGAGAGCATATATAACCAATAAGCTAATATTATTTGATTATTTGAAAGCAATTTAAACTAGGGAACAATGCTGAATTAGTATACTGTATTTGTAAAAGCTAGAATTTAAGTTTTTTTTTCTTTAGGTGATTCATTCATCTGACTTAGCGATAACTATAATATTAACATTTATGGATACAATAATTTCATGAAAAGGAGACGTTAATGGTTTTGCTTCCTTTGACGTTACATATTAACACACTAACATGTGCAATGTTCACAAAGGCATGCATTTGAAAAGGATTGTGGGGGTTTGTGTATCCGTCCTCATTTACTGAGGCATGTGTTTAACTAACGGTATTTTTCTCCGAAAGGCATATATGATTTAGTTTTATATAAGAACTAACACAATCACATCATTTTACTGATTAAACTGTTCTTGAAGAGTGTTACATGTAATACCAAATCCTGAGGGACCGAACATATGAACGGCTTTGAGCAGGACTTGGACTTTTTGAACCAAAGGAATTGTTACTTTACTAATAAGATCATAAAATAGATCGTATGTAAGAATTAGCATAATTGGTTGTGTTTGGGTTTTATGCACATTTTGTGTTTTGAGTTACAGACAGCTTTTAGTTTTTTTTTTTAAAGCACATTGAGCGGAATGGTGTTGATATTCAGTACAGTGTTTCAGACTTTTTTTTTCCCCTTAGTGTTATATTAATTTTAAGGTTTAGAAGAGGTTTTTTGGGGGAGGGTTTTTTTTTTTTTTTTTTTTTTTCTTTTTAAGAAAAAAAAAAAAAAAACGTCTTTATGGTATTGTTTGTCAACTCTGTTACGGACATGTTTGTCAACTCTGTTACGGACAAATTAGGCAATGTTTAGAAATAACAATAAATCATAAAAGGAAACATCCTTCTTGTTTTTTTTATCCTTTTCTCAGATGTATGTTTATTTTTCCCTCCAGCTCTGTGTTCACTGTAATAAGTAATAAATTCACAACTGTGCTGCATTCACTGTTTGTTCATGTTTTATTTTAATCAATTTAAAGTAGCCTACACTTTAAATAGTTTAAAATTCTATTGAAACGTTAATCATTTTTTAAATATTTTTTTGTAAAGAATGATCTAGAGTTAAAGTCTGCACACTTAGTCGAAAATTTTCGTATGTGTTCTTTCGGGGGTTTTTTTTCATATTCGTCATTCTTTCCCATCAAAATGCTTGCTATGGATGTGAAAACGCAGAAAATCGAACCTGATCTGATTTTTAATTTTAATTTTATTTTTTTAAGACGGACGAACGTTTCTGAGGCAGTGTGTAAATGTGATTGACACAACGTGAGGCCATATTTATTTCTTAACTGCGAAAATTTCAGACAAGTATTTTGGACTCGGTGTGCAACTAGACCTTTAAGCTCTGCACCGTGTGTGTCATCTTGTCAGTTACCAGAGAAAATAACACATTCTTTTTTAGGAAAAACATTCTTAAAATGTAGAAGTTAAAACGTGTAGCTTGTAGCTATTTTTTGCTAAATCATGTATTAGTATTTCTGTACAAAATATGTTGTATTTTAAAATATTTATAATATTAAGTACTGTATCACATAATTTTAAGAAATGAAATTAACCGTAAGTAAATTATGACTTAACGAAATAGCCTAAAACGAAAAAGCTGTTAGTTATCGCTTGTGCTTTCCTTGCTTCCATGGCAACCGCGCGCTTTTCAGGTAAACGGTTTTAACGGTAATTAAAGTGTTTACATTATTCGTATCAGCTATAATTATTAGTGGTCATGAAAGGAATCACAGCTTTGGACAAAGAAGGTTAGTAAGTGACTTTATCGAACTAGTCTCATATTAAATGCACAAATTTAAGTCTTTTGGCTTTACTTCTAATGTTTAATGTTTATATGGGTCCTGTCACATAGGCTTGTGCGTTAATATAAACACGATTTTTGTGTTATTTCTTACAAACTGAGGGACGAGTTATAATGATTTTCTATGGCAACGGACGGTGTATCACAGAAATTATGTAAGGTTAGCCTACAAACCAGGAAATGTCCACTTTGTTTAAAAGCTGTTTTTAATATTTCAGAATGCTAAACTTGCTATTACCCTAACTTTATATATAGCTGTCCTACTATGGACAATTTTGTTCTATAGCAAACACATAATTGAGGCGAAAAAATTGATTTATATTGATTATGGATGGTAGTTTTAAACCTGTTATTTGGTTTCTTAAGTGTAAAATTTTATTTTTTTAAAAGACAATGTAATTTTTTCAGTGAAGTAATAGCAACATTTACCAGTTTGAGTTTTTCATATTTAACAAACTTTGTAGTATTGTTCTAAAGCATAAATAGTTTATTTTCCGTGAATAATGCACCAGAAGGTTCAAATACACACACCATAGATTCAACAACAAAGTCATTTACAGTTGTCACACAGAGATTTTATTAATTATTGCATATTTAACTCTACAACAACACATTAAAATGATTTTATATCAACAGCTGTCTATGTACACTGCTAATCAAGCAGAAGGATGTAACGTTCAGTGAGGTGTCAGCACAAACAAAGATCTTGAACACTGGACGTCATTATTCTGAAATGATAGTTACTGAAGTAAAGATTTCCCATCTGTTTGTGAATCGCTTCAAAACATCAGAAAAGGAAAGACCTGACTATGTAAAACCTTAACGTAAAATTACAGACCAAAGACAAGATCTATAGTTCATGTTGGCGCTAAGGCTGATATCACAATGTTTCAGGTAAGACGGGTAAGACGGGTACGATCATATTCCTCTGGGATCTTCTCTTAGAAGTCAATAATGCATCCACAGCTCTTCATCATCTTCATCATTTGAGGAGCGTTCAAGATGAACTCAATGCTGCATGTGTCCACAGCAGAAGACTCGCTTGCTTCTCTTCTATGTCCATCAGGTTTACCGTGAATCTGAATCTCCACTAAAGTCTCAATTTCCAGTGGATCTTTTACCTGTAAAAACAAACAAATACAAGAATGAATCTGAGATCCAATAGGATTTTACAATCTTTTAAATGCCACAGATGTCCACCTGAGAGCAAGAGATCCCAATCCTAAAATTTAAAAGGTGTTTATTTGACCAAGTTTACACTGAAAAATTATTAAAATGTAAAAATATTTAGTTTATAATATTAATATTTGACATTCATTTTTAGTACAGTATTTATTTACTCGTTTATTTTAATATATTTACTTATTTTATTTGCTTATTCATGATTTGTTTTAATCTATATATACAG